CACTCACCCAGGCCGTGGGGCACAGCGATTTGTAGACGCGCTGGTACCACTGGCAGGGGGTGACACAGGAAGTGACACTCACCCAGGCCGTGGGGCACAGCGATTTGTAGACGCGCTGGTACCACTGGCAGGGGGTGACACAGGAAGTGACACTCACCCAGGCCGTGGGGCACAGCGATTTGTAGACGCGCTGGTACCACTGGCAGGGGGTGGCGTCCGCCCCCTTGGCCGCCATCGCCTTCTCGCAGCGGTGGAAATCTGGGGGGAGGTGAACAGCGAGGGGACATCAGAGGGGCCCCTCCCCCCCCAATTAATTAGCACCTAATTAACGAGCTAATTAAGCCAACGAATACCCAGGTAGTTCTGCCAGCAGTTGCGGGTCTGGTTCTGGTTGGGGAAGCGGCTGTCGAACGGCGCCGTCTTGTAGCGCTCCAGCTTGGCCTTGATGTCCTCCGCCATGGCCTAATCAGGGGTAATTAGGGCTAATTAGGGGTAATTAGCGCTAATTAGGGGACCGGCCGCCTCTTTAATGCCCCCCAGGAATCCTTGATCCACCCCTTGTATTAATTAATGCTCTTAATAATGAAAATAAGGGGAGAAAAGCAGTTGGAAGGGGGTTTTGGGGTGTAATTAATAGGGGTAATTAAGCCTAATTAATTAAGACCCCCCTGAGGTTAATTAAGCACCTTGGGTAATAATTAATACACTCCCTGTATTAATTAATCCCCTAATTAATGAAAATAAGGGGCGGAAATCAGTTGGATGGCGGTTTTGGGGTGTAATTAATAGGGATAATTAAGCCTAATTAATTAATTAAGAGCCCTCTGGGGTTAATTAAGCACCTTGGGTAATAATTAATCCACTCCCTGTATTAATTAATCCCCTAATTAGTGAAAATAAGGGGCGGAAATCAGTTGGATGGGGGTTTTGGGGTGTAATTAGTAGGAGTAATTAATGCTAATTAATCAAAACCCCCTTGGGGTTAATTAATGCCCCTAGGAATAATTAATCCACCTCTATATTAATTAATCCCTGCAATAATGAAGACATGAGATAAGAATCAGTGGAAACAAAGCACTGGGGTGTTAATTAACAGAATTAATGGTAATTAACTAATTAAGACGCCCTGGGGTTAATTAAGCACCTTGGGTAATAATTAATCCACTTCCTCTATTAATTAATCCTCTAATTAGTGAAAATAAGGGGGGAAAATCAGTTGGATGGGGGCTTTGAGGTGTAATTAGTAAGCATAATTAATGCTACTTAACTAATTAAGACCCCCCTGGGGTTAATTAAGCACCTTGGGTAATAATTAATCAACCTCTGTATTAATTAATCCCTGTAATAATTAAGATATAAGAATCAGTGGAAACAAAGTACTGGGGTGTTAATTAACAAGATTAATTAATGGTAATTAACTAAGAACCCCCTGGAGTTAATTAAGCACCTTGGGTACTAATTAATCCACCTCCTATAATAATTAATTCTCTAATTAGTTAAAATAAGGGGTGAAAATCAGTTGGATGGGGGCTTTGGGGTATAATTAGTAGGGGTAATTAAACCTAATTAACTAATTAAAACTTCTCTGGGGTTAATTAAGCACCTTGGGTAATAGTTAATCCACCCCCTGTATTAATTAATCCCCTAATTAGTGAAAAGGGATGAAAATCAGTTGCAGGGGAGTTTTGGGGTGTAATTAATAGGGGTAATTAATGCTAATTAACTAATTAAGATCCCCCTGGGGTTAATTAATGCTCTCAGGTAATAATTAATCCACCCCCTGTATTAATTAGTCCTCTAATTAGTGAAAATAAGGGATGAAAATCAGTTGGATGGGGGTTTTGGGGTGTAATTAATAGGTGTAATTAATGCTAATTAATTAATTAAGACTCCTCTGGGGTTAATTAAGCCCCTTTGGCACTAATTAGCCCACCTCCATTAATAATTAATCACTTAATAATTAAGATAAGAGGCTTCAATCAAGGGGAAGGGGACATGAGGGGTTAATTAACGTGGCTAATTAACCCTAATTAACACCCCAAGTGCTAATTAACCTCCTAATTAACTCCCTCCTAATTAACCCCCCCCTTTTCCCAGTGCTAATTAACACCACTAATGAACAGGGGCAATGTAAGGGGGGGGTAATTAACAAAGATCATTAATTAAGACAGTTAATTAATGGTCCCAGTGCCCTCCCAGTGCTCCCAGTAACCCCTCAATGCCCTCCCAGTGCTCCCAGTAACCTCCCAGTACCTTCCCAGTGCTCCCAGTTCCCTCCCAGTAACCCCTCAGTGCCCTCCCAGTGCTCCCAGTTACCCCCCACTGCCCTCCCAGTTACCTCCCAGTGTTCCCAGTAACACCCCCAAGGTCTCCCACTGCTCCCAGTAACGCCCCAGTGCCTTCCCAGTAACCCCTCAGTGCCCTCCCAGTGCTCCCAGTTACCCCCCACTGCCCTCCCAGTTACCTCCCAGTGTTCCCAGTAACACCCCCAAGGTCTCCCACTGCTCCCAGTAACGCCCCAGTGCCTTCCCAGTAACCCCTCAGTGCCCTCCCAGTGCTTCCAGTAGCCCCCTAGAGATCTCCCAGTGTTCCCAGTAACTCCCCCAAACCCTCCCAGTGCTCCCAGTAACGTCCCAGTGCCTTCCCAGTAACCCCTCAGTGCCCTCCCAGTTACACCCCAGAGGCCTCCCAGTGCTCCCAGTTACCCCTCAATGCCCTCCCAGTGCTCCCAGTTACCCTCCACTGGCCTCCCAGTTGCACCCCAGAGACCTCTCAGTGCTCCCAGTTCCCTCCCAGTGCTCCCAGTAATGTCCCAGTTACCTCCCAGTAACCCCTCACTGCCCTCCCAGTGTTCCCAGTAATCCCCCAGAGGTCTCCCAGTGCTCCCAGTAACCCCCCCAAACCCTCCCAGTAACCCCCCCG